ATGTCTCCATTCTTTAGGCTTCTAATTTGGAGCTCCAATGTAACTATTATTTGCCACTTCTGTTCTATATTTTAGAATGTGGCAGACAACAGAGTCCCCACTATTTATGTAGTTTCCACAGCACAGGGATGAATTCACTCTATTCTGCTGCTTCTGCAAGGTTTGCCATCCCTTGGAGACATTTCTGCCTACCTTAGTCCACTCACTCTCCCCTGCTTGTTACTTGCACTTTTACTGCATTTCCTTCTGATTTTCAGGGACATGTGTTCATATACCATAGGAGAAGATGGTCCTGGTCATCTATCTAATAGTTTACTTTTTGCTGGGTTTTTTCTAAATAATCAAAAAAGGACTTGAGCTCAACTTTCTGCCAAATTTTATGCCAACGTGACTCAACTGAAGACACCCCGAAAGACCTTCAGCAGCAAATGAAGAGATGTCAGTTACGAGGTACTACGCAAGCTACATAGTTGAGTATGGCTCATAAAATACATGCTGTTCGTTTTAACGTGCTGAGGTGGTGTGGGGGCCTTGTGTTGGCTCAACAGATGACTTTTACCTTCTGGATTATTGAAAATCCACGCTCACAGAAGACAACAGTAAGACAATGAGATCCTACATTGTCTTTTGCAACAGAACCACTGAGAAGCAGCAGTGGGCAAATTCAAAAATAGGTCATTCAGCTTCTCCCCATCAGCTCACTGCAGGGTATATTGTCAGTTTAATTTCCTCATTTAGTTCCTTCTGCTTCCCATAACAGTGCTTTTGAATCACAACAGTGTTTGGGAGTAGGATATGCCTACTTTGCAATGGCTTTGCAATGTTTTGTATATACACAAAAATCCTGCCTTCAAATGAGATTAACCTTTGAACAAAATTAATATACACACAGCATAGTGAGAAGCAGTCAGAAGCACATAGCACCTAGGAAAGGGAGAAATACGAGGTGTTCTTCATTCTGGTGCCTCAGAGATTGGTGCTAAAATTGTCACTACAAGAAAGGATTGATTAAAAAAATACTGTATGGAGAGGCATGTAGGTAAGAATTTACTAGGGAAGGAGGGCCATACAGAAATGGATTGCCTCCTGCCCCTGCCAAGTATAAAAATGTGTCTTAAGCTTCAAGGTAAAACACTGAAATCCCAGAGTATTTGAAACTTCAGCAGTGCTTCAGGAGTATGATGCCATATCCTCTGAGTACCTATCCTGGTAAGGCTGAGCTTCCTTTTCTTGCACAGAAATATATTTTTAATCTGATAATGGTTTTGTGCTTGGAAAATATACAGCCCATCTATTTTTTAAAAGAAACATACAGTAACAAAACAAATCCTCATTACTGAGCAGAACGACGCACACTTACGTTCTTGTCTTCTCTAGTATCTTCCAGTTCTGTCTCCTGGGGAAATCCAGGCCGAGCTCTACTATCCTCCCCGCTGCCCTGGAAGACCACGTTGGGTCTTTATTGCCATCTAGTGACCGAAGAGAGCGCATTGGCACACCGAACACACCTGGGAATTTGGAAACCGACAAACGCTGCTTTTCTCTCAGCCTGAACTTCGTGGTACCCCGTTACCCGCATCCCTTACGGACCTTGGGCCTCAGCTTTGCAGACGTGTGGGAACTGTTGCTTTCATACAATCCCGCCACTCTGCAAATGAACCGGCCCTTCGCCCTCCCACCAGGACCAGGCGCTTTAGACAGAGGCCACTCACAAAACCAAGGAGCCTTGGTTTGTCCCCAGGGAATACACCGAGCTTGGGAGCAGGGTCGCCACGCTCCGCAGAACATCCAGCCCCAGAGTGACATTTGGGGTGGCATCAGATGGTAACAGCCATCTCCTCACCCTGGGAGAATGTACAGAGACAGATTGCTTACAGGTGTTGAAGATGCATCAGAGATGTGTTTTGTTTTGGAGGCTCTCTTGGTACTGAGACAGACTCCTGGCAGCTGGTACACCTGCAGACAAGACACCAGAGCATGCCGGGGGGCTGCAGAATGCTCCAGGCCATGGACACCTGGCTCGCTGCTCTCTTTTTCCAGATGCTGTTGTCTTTGACCCAGCTGGCACCTGACGTTATGAATTACCGAATGGTCCCGCGCCCGGGCTGGTCAGGCTGCTTCCGGCTCTCC